TGTTTTCAAAAACTCTTCTAGCTTTAGAATTTCCTATATATCGGAGGAATGCACATTCCCTGATGGTCAGAAAACACACTATTCCTTTCATTACATATGACTTACATTCTTTTTTCCATTATGCCCTACATTTTACCACCTTTACTTCCTCCCCACTTTTATTATTTGACCCCGGCATGTATCTGAATTTCATATATCCTTCAGGGTTCAGGCTAAATACAACTTCTATCATAAAGTCTTCCTAAAGTTTCCTCTACTGTTTCCATTTCTCTTTAACTGTACCTTTCCTAGGTTTTATTAATTTCTAATTTTTATTTTATATTTAGTGTATTCATAACAGGTAGAATCCACTTTCATCTTTGTAAACCCAGAACGACAAAGAAGTAACTTAAACACTGAAAAATATTTGTTAAAAAATTAATTGATGAGTGCACATGATGCTATGTTCTTTTGGAAATTTCCATTTAGAGACATAAAACTTAAGATCCCAAAAGTTTGGTAACTGAACCCAGGATTCATGTCTACTTTTTAAATATCTCTCAGTGTTTTTCTGGATGAATTCAATGGTTTATACTGATAAATCATCTTTGTTCCATAACTCTTTTTCTATTTGAAAAATAGAATAATACCAAGATTTTACTTACCATATTGTGTTAGTATCAAGAACCAGTGCTTTTATAATAACTGAGCAGGGACGCCTGGGTGGCTCAGTTGGTTAAGCAGCTGCCTTCGGCTCAGGTCATGATCGAGTCCCACATCGGGCTCCTTGCTTGTCAGGGAGCCTGCTTCTCCCTCTGCCTCTGCCTGCCATTCTGTCTGCCTGTGCTCGCTCTCTCTCCCTCTCTCTCTCTGACAAATAAATAAATAAAATCTTTAAAAAAAAAAAAATAACTGAGCAAAGCGGAATAGCCACCTATGAACTTTTACCACTAACGTGTTTGTACTGTGGGTTAGCTGTGCCTGTACTCTTTCTTTATATGTCCGTAGCCTTAGTATCTAATGTACTCTAAACCATTATTTGGCCCAGCATGCTATTTTGGGCACGGGAATAGCTAGTTTAGGGAGAAATTAATGCCATGGTGTGAAGACCAGATCAGGATTAAACAAATTTCATTATGAGATTATGCACTTATCTTAATTCCTTAGGCAGGTCTGCATTTTGTGTAAAGTTTCTTCCATTAGTAGAAAGACAATAATATTGAATTAACTAGTTCTATTAAATGTGAGACATGTGCATGATTGCAAGTCTAACCATGTAGTAAGAAGACTATGGGACACACACATTCATCAACTATGTTTTGATTTGATTGAGTTAGAAATCAAGATGACTCATTTCTTCACCTTTATTCACTCATGCTGTTTTCTCAGCTAACTTGCAAGAAAACAAAGTATCATAATGTACATTGGATCTTGAATGTTAAATGCCCTGGTCCTTATTGCAAAATGCTTATACTGGACACTATGGTACTTATTGTCCTGAGTAAATGGAGATTCCCTTTCATATTTCCTTTGCTTATTTCTTATGCAGATAATTATAACCTCTAAAGAAGAACATGAGGGACAATAGCACAGTTTGATCATTTTCTGGAAGTTAGACTAATACAAATGAGTAAATGAAATTGGATTTTTCGATTACATATAAAACAGCACAAACTTTAATGACCTTCTTATCTCAGTGAGGCACTTATTAAGGATTAGCAATTTAAAAGAGCTTGGAAGTATTAGCATCTGCAAAGGGTTTAGGAAAGTTGGATTATCAAGACACATGCTCTATATCTTTCTCTTCTTGGTCCTAGGTTGAGGGAATAATTATGGGTAGGAAAATTTTCCCGTTTCCCCCAAGACTCTCTGCTCAGAGTTTGCTCTGTAGAAATCATAACTCTTTCAATGGAGATTAACACTTTATCAACAGGTATTCTAAGAAAGATCCTATCAGCTGCTAAGCAGGATTCTACTTGCTAAACCCCACTCCTATACATGTTAGTTCCCTCTCAAGTGCAGCCTTTAATGCTCTTTTAGTTAGGAACAGGGCAGCCAAGCATACCTATCAGGTAGCACGATGTTCCTTTACCAACCAATGTTGGATCTTTGCCAAGACATAATCCTAGCAGTTATGTAAGCCTCATCCTTTATCTTAAGCAGTTTCTACTGTTTGATTTCATACAAAAGTACAAAGTAATTCTGCCACATAAAGTTATTAAATACTCTTTTTAGGATCCACTGTAGAATGAGTATAAGGCTTCCTTCTATTTGCCTTTACTATTAAAACCAGAAAGCGTGTGACTAACAGAGGTTACATTGCTAGATTCTGAATGGTTTTTTAGATAAATTATGATTTATTTCAAAGCAAAGACATCTGGCCTGAGAAGCAGGACGTAAAAATAAAGGTTAAAGATAACTGTTGTAAAACTGTCCAAGGATTTTCCACAAGATTCAGTGAGAGAGTACACCAATGATATTTTATGAGGGCACATTGGCCCACCTAAATGCATGTCCAATCCATTAATGTTACTAAATAAGATGATTAAGCATCTACAGAATAAGTATAGTTCATCATTATGTCTTATGCGATATGTTTTGCAGTATGACTCAGCTTGAATTATGAACAAGACTTTCAGCAAGTTGTTGGTAATGGAATGTATAGAGCTTACCTGGTTGCAAAGTACCTTCAGCCTCTATTCCACAGCACAGTTTGATTCAGTGCCATTCCATACTAAGTTGGAAAGAACTAACTTTTAGTCATCTCTCTCCCTAAATTACTCTGGCAACCTCATGGCAATCAAGACTATTTCGGGAGGGGATCACGATGCAAGTGTTTTTGTGTTTAAGGACTTTATGTCATGTTCAATGACACATAGTAGAGGCTAAATATATGGAGAGATTACTGAATAATCACATATTACATTATAATATGGACATATTATTCATAGTAGTTTATCTATATTGCTTAACCCCTTTATAAGCACACTCATACTCAACTGCATAATGTCTAGGGCTTTGTTGGATTTTAAATAATTACTAATATGTATATGCATTTCCCAAACTGCAACACTGTTCAACCAAAACAGATAAGATGATGGTGTTTAAAGATACAAACTTGAAGTAAGTATTTACTACTGTTAATAATGCAGAATGCAAAAAAAAAAAAACTTATTTGCAAAATAGGTATTTACTACTTATAAGTAGTAAGTAAGCCATGGAGATCTAATGCATAGGAGAGATGAATACAGACAGTAATATACCATAATTATGTAATGTGATAAATATTGCTACAATGGCAATCAGACTACAGTATATAAATGTATCAAAGTAGCTTTATGTATGCTGTATGCTGTCCACCTTAAATTACATAATGTTACATGTCAAATTTATTCAATAAATAAAGAAAAAGAAAAAGAACAAAACACACAAAAGAAGGTTTTCCTTTCCAATCTCTATTTCTTCTTTATTCCATTTTCTCCTATTCTAGTCATGTAAATTACAATTATAAATATCTTGCTTGGAAATTGGGATTTGACACCACTTCCCTATTAACAAGTTGACTCCAGTCTGTTTATTTATTATTTTCCTTACCTTTTTTCATTCGTCAAACTCCCAATTATACTTCCATTTCTTACACTAAATATGTCCACCCATGTAATTGGTCAGTTGCTGGCATTGTATCAGGAGTGAGCAACCAATCTCTCCCACCAGAAGTAACTTATATAATACCTCATAGTTTTCAATTTACTCTTTTATTTCTCTTAATATCAAAGTTATACACACATACTATAATCACTTTCCTCAATAGCATTGGTAATTACTGCATTCTTATCTATTAATTTTATTAAATCAAGTTTAATGCTTATAATATGGCAAGCATTTTGTCAGTGTATAAAAGTAGATAATACCTAATCACTTCCTCGAAGCTTCTCTCATTATTGCACAATTTCCTCTTTACAGTTACTTGCTGATAATGGGTACAGCCTGTGCTCTAATCCTGGCATCCATCAGGCCCCACTAGGACCACCATTATATGTGGTTGTTGTGGATGTGGATTTGGGATTCAGTCTGTGGTGACTCAGTCTCCTTATCATCTGCTTATTTACCTCTGTGATGTGGGGAGAATTATTTTACTTCTGTATTACTCAATAAATGTGATTTTATTTTATTTTTTTTAAGATTTTATTTATTTATTTGAGAGAGAGACAGTGAGAGAGAGCATGAGCGAGGAGAAGGTCAGAGAGAGAAGCAGACTCCCCGTGGAGCTGGGAGCCCGATGCGGGACTCGATCCTGAGACTCCAGGATCATGACCTGAGCCGAAGGCAGTCGTCTAACCAATTGAGCCACCTAGGCATCCCAAATGTGATTTTAAAATAAAGATGATAGCGATACTTATTTCACAGGGTTGCAAGTAAGGTTTTAAGGATGGGATACATGCAAAGTTCAACATAGTGCTTGGCATGTTATACCCATTTAATAAGGGTGTGTGTGTGTGTGCGCGCTTTGTTTGAAATATTTGAAGACCGTGAATCCACATACTTATAATTAATTTTTTGGATAAAAGACAATATAAGGTCTTTTAGATAATTTGGTAAGCATTTGCATGTTGATTCTGTACTTATTTGTGATTTTTTAAAGCTTCAGCTCCATGTAAATATCACAAAATTAATATAATTGTTGACATTAAGATAATTTGTTTTTATATCAAGTGACTATATCTCATGTATTGTAAAATCTTGAGTAAAATTTACAGTGTGACTGGGAAGCAGTTATGTAAGTAATATAAGTAATAACCTAGTTATTACTAGGAACTTTGGATTTTATTTATATGTCTCAGGTAAAAAATTAAAGAGAAAGGTTAAGATAATGCCATACTTTTTTTTTTTTTTGAAAGGACTGAGTTTAAGAGTTATTTACTTACAGAGACTTTATAATGTAAAAATTTAAATGTCTGAAGAAAACATCTAGAATAGTGACTTTACTCTTATAGGTTGTTACCCTTCTTTTTATATTTCAGGAATACACAATAGATATAATTTTTGCCCAAACCTGGTTTGACAGTCGTTTAAAATTCAACAGTACCATGAAAGTGCTTATGCTTAACAGCAATATGGTAGGGAAAATTTGGATTCCTGACACATTCTTCAGAAACTCAAGAAAATCTGATGCACATTGGATAACAACTCCTAATCGTCTACTTCGAATTTGGAATGATGGACGAGTTCTATATACTCTAAGGTAATATTATGGAAAAAAATGTAGTTGCTTTAATTTGTTTTCCATACTAATACTTGATCAACTCACAAATTTTCCTTTTTCAATTTTACAAAGAAAGAAATGTTGAGTTCCTTTCATACACTAAAATCTAAAATGGTGGAATATTTTGGAAACTTTCTTTTTTAAGCTCAGAGTACCTGGTATATAAAAGGGACTAAAAGCAAAGGGGGAAAAAAAAACAAAACTTCTTGATATCCTTCTCTTCTGAAACATAAGAGAGTGTGGTGTGAACATTATGTGTTTTAATCCATAATGCAAATGGTTGACTGAGATTTTCTCTAGGAGCCAATCCTGCTATAAAATTCAATAATGTAGTAAAACATTCTTAAGAAAGGATTAAATGAAGATTCAAGTTTATTTGACTCATTGTCTTGAACATATCATCACATCCTTATCAAGAATCATACTAATCTTATTAAGAATCATCCTTAATGGAAAGAAGTTTATGAAAATTTAATGGAAAACAATCACCATCCTTAACCATGTATGCTCTGTTAATTGCATGTGTGTTTGTTGTGATCCTGAAGTATAAAATTTAAACTGTAAACAGAAATTGTATAGTGTCAGCTTAGTTGGCTGGAGAGGAAAATCTTAAAATTTTCTTACTTGTGAATGCTATAACATTACCACTTAAAACTTCGAAACATTACAATTATTATTATTTTCTAATATATCATAGTCTGTTATTAGAGACCAAAATAATTCTTGAAAATTAGACAAAGGATTTTTAATGCTTTAAACTATTTCCTATTATTTAATATTTACTTTTTTCATTTGAATAGATTGACAATTAATGCAGAATGTTACCTTCAGCTTCATAACTTTCCCATGGATGAACATTCCTGTCCACTGGAATTTTCAAGCTGTAAGTGACAAAATATGTAATCATTTTATAGAATTTTAGCCTTAGATTCTGTTTATTTAAAAGCATAAAGTAGGGGCGCCTGGGGGGCTCAGTGGGTTAAAGCCTTTGCCTTCAGCTCAGGTCATGATCCCAGGGTCCTGGGATCAAGCCCCGCATTGGGCTCTCTGCTCAGCAAGGAGCCTGCTTCCCCCTCTCTTTCTCTGCCTGCCTCTCTGCCTACTTGTGATCTCTGTCTGTCATATAATAAATAAACTCTTTATTAAAAAAGTGTAAAATAAAATGAGATAAAATATAACATAATTTTAAGAAGTGTGGATTATGTTCGTCTCTCAAATAAAATAATTACAAATGACCTATTTTTCTTGCTTTTAAATTAAAAAGTGACAATAAATGCATAGTAATTGTATATTTTTAATTATATCATCTTAAAAACTTTGGGTTTATCCAAGTATCTTTTTCCTATTTTGATTAAATAAAGTAGTCCTGAAGATAGGTTTGTGTTCAAATGTTTTAACACTGCTATGAATATAATATTGATTCAAATTTTATTCATCTCCCTGAGGCAAGATTTATCTTTATTACATTGGATTTTAAAATATATTTCAAAGATTGGTTTGGTGAATAATATTTACTACATGAATAGCAAATCTTTGAGAAGACTTTAATGAATTGGAAAAGCCTAGGTAGAAATAAGCTTATTTTATTCAAAAGAAAGATTGAAACACAGAGAAATGATTAGAACTAAATAATTTGAATATAAAAAGTATTTTGTTCCAAGAAAATAATTATTATCTTTCTGTATGAATATCGATTTTATTTCATATTTACTCACATTTACTTAATTTTATAAAAATGTTTTTCTAGATAATATATAACTGAACGAGTCTTGAAACCATGTAAAATGAGTTTAAAAGTGTTACTGCCTATATCCACAAATTACTATTTTCATTCTATTGAAACTTGACTTTTTCATATATCACATTCTACTGTTTATTCACTATAGATTTTGTGTATTCATGAGTATTATCCTACTTAATCATTTACAAAATTCCCAATTATCTCTTGTTGTTTCTATTAATGATTGTCTTGACTTTTCTTAAGGATTTTTGTCTCATTAAAATGTCCTTTTAAATTTATAATCTATCTCACTGCTTTAATTTTCTAACATTAACTTCTCAATGAATAAAACACCCAAATCATAACAAAGACTTGATTAATCCAAGCACTCAAGGAATAGTTGAAATGCAAATATTTGAAAATGTCATTATTGTTATATTTGCCTCCTAGACACCATGACTAAATTCTTAGTGTGATAGTTCTTTGGCTTTGATTGTCATTGCTAGAAATTAATAATCTGCCCCTGTGAATGTAATTGGTTATCACTAACATAAACATAATAATCATAGCTAACTTTTCAGGTATTCAACTCGGATCCAGCAGAGAATTAAGGTTTCTATACCTAATACTTCACAACAAATATATTCAAAAGATTTCAATACAACCCCATTTTAAAAGTCAACATCATGAAATTTAGAATAGTAAAATAACGATCTATTTTTATTTGTGCCCATATTCCTATATACTATGACTATATTCTATTGCATTGATAAAGATAATCTTAAAAAGTACAAAATATGGAAAAGCAGAATGGTTAGAGCCCTATAAAACAAAAAGAAGATGTGAAAAAAGAAAAGAGGGAACAGATTTTTAATAAGTTAGAGGAGAGATGTGCTATTTCATTGAATGGCTGATGAGGTGATCCTGGTACAAAATGATATAATGTTTTGGAAATGTTTTAAGTTGATAGTGAATTCTGTTCCTGTAATGTGATAGACCAATACTTTTGTTGAAAACAATTTAAAACTTTATGTTATTAAAAATCTTCTCAAAAACATGGAAGTGAAATCCCCAGGAAGATATTGAAGCATAAAAAATGAAGCCAGAAAGGTTATAGCCAATTTTGACCCAAGGACATTTGCCAAACAAGGTAAATTTGAGCTGTGACTTTGACAGCCTTGTGGATTAGAGTTCTAATAGAACATAATTTCTACATACAACTGGGTTACAAAGGCTGGACGCTTAGGGTAACATGAAGAAGCATCCCCTTCTATATACACAGATGTGTATACACACACATACACACACAAAACCACTAATGCCTAAAAGAAAAGTTGACTCTGCAATCAGCAAACTAGGGTGAAGTAACTCCTTGAGAGGATATAATTGCAAACCCGCACTCACATGAATTTGCAGCCCAAATTTCCTTCACTTGATTACCAAGGATTTTTCTGAAACGTGGCAGGAAAAAATTATTTTTTTTGAGAGAAGGCACCTCCACGCTAAGAAACTTCCAAGATGAAAAAACATTTTCAATGCAAATAACAATGATCTTGTATTCAGGATATAAAACTAATTCAGGCTGAAAAAGAGAGAGAGAGAGAGAAAACCCAATAAAGGCATATGTGATTCAACAAGCAGTTCTCCAAAGAGGAAACCTAAGAATCCAATAAACATATGAAAAAATTACTAGGTTTCATTCATAATCAGAAAAATGTAAAATAAAATATGCTTCCAAACCAGTAAAAATAGACTGTCCATATCAAGTTAAATGAGAATATGGACCCAAGTATACTTTCATACTCTGGCTGCTGAGAAAATTTATTGGTATACTCTTTATGAAAAGAAGGTTGGAACTGTCTCATAAATTATTATGAGATGATAGAAATTATATGTAACCCATGACCCCAGCTATTCCATACCTATATATATGCCAAAGAAATTTGCATGCATGAATTTTGTGAGTATGTATAGTAATGTTACTAGTAGTAATGTTAGTATTGACCAACAAGAAACATTATAGGTGTCTACACCAAAAAAATAGATAAATTTGAGAACATCTTCATAATGGAAAAAATTTACTAAAGCTGTATACTTCAACATGGGTGACTATTACAAATATTGTATCAAAATAAGTAAAATATAAAGTAATGCATCTAGTATGGCAACAATCTAGAATTCAAATAGAATGTAAAATAAACTATGGTTTAGAAACAGATATCAGAAAATCAATAACAGAAACATAAGGGAAAGATTTCACAGAAATCAAGTTAGTGGTTACCTCTATTTATGAGATAGAATTTTATATCGGAGTGGACACTTGAGTTTCCCTAGACACTAACATGATTCTATTTTTTTTTTTTTTTAGTTAAGTGGAGTTACATGGATTATCATTATTTAATCGTTATATGATTTTTCAAACTATTTTATGCCATGTTTTATGCCATGATATACCTATAATATAAAAATGAATTTGGAATGATGTTGGTATTGAAGCAGTAACAGATTTGAATCTTGGTAATCTATATATTTTTATTTTAATTTTTACCTAGATGGGTACCCTAAAAATGAAATTGAGTATAAGTGGAAAAAACCTTCTGTAGAAGTGGCTGATCCTAAATACTGGAGATTATATCAGTTTGCATTTGTAGGGTTACGGAACTCAACTGAAATTTCTCACACAATCTCTGGTAAGAAGGAAATGCCAATCAATGAATGATTTTTTATTTAAATCTATAGGTTTGGATCTATACTTTTATATATTTTAATAGCAAAAATAAAACTTCTTTCTTCCAGGGGATTATGTTATCATGACAATTTTTTTTGACCTGAGCAGACGAATGGGATATTTCACTATTCAAACCTACATTCCATGTATCCTGACCGTTGTTCTTTCTTGGGTGTCTTTTTGGATCAATAAGGATGCAGTACCAGCAAGAACATCACTTGGTATGATATGAATATTATGCTATAGTATCATGGGACTGTTAAAATATTTTAGTGTGAAGAAAGTTCATCATTGAATATGTTATAATATTTCTCTACATTACAATCAAACAAAAATTTACAAGTATTCTAGTGCTTTATAAAATGTTGAAATGACTATATGACAAATAAGCAGGAAGTAGAATCACAAAGAATTTAAAATTTTCCTGCTAATGGAGTTCAAAGGAAACATAAATACTCAGCAGGAATTAATAAACAAAACCCATACATAATCCCTGAATCTCAATTTGGTCTATATTTTTAATCACTGTTCATCAAGATTTTATTTTATTTTTTAGCTCACTCACTGATAGCCAGTATTTATTGACCAATGTGTGTTTAGAAGGCTTTGAAATCCCTTGCTCTTACAATGGTGCTAATCAACAGTGAACTTTTCTAAAAGGCAAGTCACTGAAAGGGGCAAGAAACTTCTGGGCTTCTGTAATCTATAAAATGTGTAATTAGTCTATGAATATTTTGAGAGTTGTCTGCACAATAACACTGATTAAGAGGGTAATTTGTAATTCATACTTGAAAAAATAATCTTTTGGTTTCTTTCTTTAGCAATCAATTGCAATAATCAAAACCATATAAGAAAATGTGTCTAATTACTGTGTGTTTGTTTAAAAGAAAATAACTTCCATTTATGTATTGATATACAAAGATAACTTATTGATCAATTTCATTCCCAAGATCAGTGCAAGACATGAATCACACTACTGATAACTGTGTCTTAAAATATATAAAGTTGGGACAGTCTGTTTTCAACAATAATGAGGTTTTCATGTGGTTTTTATGATAGCTCGTGAATAACTCCGTTTAATAAATACAGTAAAAAGCAAATCATATAGAAGTGGCAAGATAAAGCCTGAGGCACCCAGCTCTATATTTGAAAATGCAGTCCCTTGTGGGGTCTAAAGAGAAGTGTACTTACAGCTAGTGAATAAAATGAACTCAATACCTGAGTTTTGTTTCCTATTTAAACTATTATTATTTCAAATTATTTTATGTTCCAATGTAAATAAATTATTTTAGATTCTTTGTATGATACTATGAGTATGACTTGAATATTATATTTTTGTTTTTAAACATTATTGTCATATTTTTCCCAAAGAAAATTTGAATAGATTATTTCTACCATGATATTTGTGTGAAGCCAGAAACCAAGGCATTTTATCTTCAAAGGGAATAGCCAGTTGTGGAATTGTATTGTTATATGAATTCATATTTTTTAATAGTAGCATATCAACATTTAGATAAGTCATAGTCAGATCTAACTTGAAGAATATCTCTTACAGTTTTGGACCCTATGTATCTGGAGCTCAAAATTTTTTTAAGCAAGTATATGCACACAAATACAAACATGCATATACATGTCATGGAAGTACAATTTCCTGACCTCATTTATTCCACGTTGTGTTTTAGCAAACATTTACCAAATGTTTTTTTTATGAAGCAGGCAGTGTTCTAAGTGCTTCAGTGCTAACAGTGAACAGTAGCTATAAAATCCCCATGTTCATAGCATTTATGTTTTAGTGGGGTGTGCAGGTAATGTACAAATATAAAGAGCATGTAACATCAGTGAGTAATAAGGGCTATGAAAAGAAAGCAAAATAAATGGCAAGAGAATGGCAGGAGATTGTGCATGTGAATATGATGTTTGCTATTTTATCCTGTGGAGTCAGGCTACACCTCTTTGAGGAGGTAGCAGAGACCCAGTATAGCATGGGAGCTAGCTTGGTGGATATGTGGTAGAAAGATAGGTCAGACAGAGAGAACCACCAGGTCCTAAAATGGGATCTTCCCTGCCATCATGCTTGAAGGTCAGAAAAAAGACAGCTATGGCTAGAACTGACTGTAAAGAGAAAAGTGAAATTGGAGATATGGCTAACTGTTAGATCATGTAGGTTTAGTAGGTTACTTTATGGACTTTCGATTTTATTCTCAATGTGACATGTAGGATTTTGAGCAGTAAATATAAATGAATCTGCTTAATAACACAAAGATTTTCTTATTATCATGGATTCAAAGATAATTTAAGAGGAAATCCACCAATTTTTAAGCTAACACTGTGATAATAATTACTAAATTAAAGAAATGTCTGAAAGCTAAATTCTGCTCTAGTTTTCATTATTTTATGAATAGGAATGTAATAGTATTTTAATAAAGTGAAATTTAATGCAGTCATTGATATTGAAATCAAAACACACACTATCTTTAAGTGTTTTCTTTAGTAAATTGGGACGTAAGTATGGAAGCCAGGGATACATTTGGAAATCTACTTTTGTCTGACTGTGACAATGTTATGATTTAGTAAGTTACCAGAAAAAAAAAGTGCATTAGGTGAGGAAGAAGAAAGACTTGTTTATTCATGGAAATCATTTAGCAGTTACCATATGCCTAACCTTTATCGTTTTGGTTTAAAATAATTGAAGCAAAAATTGTCAGAGATAATAGGGAAAAAAGAAATCTGTAATCATATTTGGATATTTTAACATCCTTTTTCATCACTGATAGAAAAAATACATGGAAGAAAATCAATGAAAATGTAGAAAATCTAAATGAAATTATCAACTACTTGACCTGATTGATATTTATAGAAGACTACACCTAACTACAGAGTATATCATATTTTCAAGTTCATATGGATCATTAACCCAGATCTCAATAAAATTTAAAATACCAAAATTTTCCAGAGTATATTTTCTGACCATAATGGAAGTAAATTAAAAATTAATATAAATAGGAGCACTTGGGTTGCTCAAGCCATTGAGTATTTGACTCTTGATTTTGGGTTATGTCACAATCTCAGGATTGTGGCACCCATGCCCCAAGTCAGGCTTCGTGGTGGGGGCATGGAGCCTGCTTGGGATTTTCCCGATGCCTCCATCTCTCTCACTCTTTCTCTCTTGCCCCCTTTCTAAAAATTAAAAAAAAATTATTAATATAAATAATATAGATAATAATGGCCTTATCTAGTTGGAAATTTTAAAATGACCCTTTAGATAACACTTGGGTCAAACTGGAAATTAGAAAATATTCCTAAATTTCAAGTAATTAGTATTTAATATATAAATAATTGTGAGATGCAACTAAAACATTGCTTAGAGGGGAAATTATAGCTTTACATGCTAATATTAGAAAGGAAGATATAAAATTAATATTCTAAGTATCCACCTTAAAATCTAATAAATACAATAAATATCTTATGTATAAATGTATTATAAGAACTAAGCAAGATATTTCTGTGTCAATTTTTTAGATGAAAGGCACAGAGGAGTTAAGAAACTTCCTTAAGGTCACAGAGCTCATAGATAAAAGAGTCAGAATTTGAACCTAAATTTGTCACCATGACTCCCAATACATCATACCCCTGTCTTCACTTTTTTTTCAATCCTATGTGATGATACAAGTAAAAAGACAAGTGCGTAAGAGGAATTATTAGGGCATGTTTCAAAGGAGACATGAGGATAAAGGTAGTATTGCCTTCATTATATTAAAGAGACCCTTTCTATTTTTTTTCCATCATTGATGTTGCCACAGTATAAATAATTGGCCAAATTATGAAGAGTTTTGCATTACATTAAATACTTTTTGAAAAGTACATAATTCCATTCATGGAGCTATATTTGGTGGACATAGAATGAGAATTACAGCAGTTTAAGTAAGGAGAGATGTGTCCTGTACAGCTGTGAGTTAGGGGATATCAAGATTAGCAGTTGTAAGAACCATAAGAAAGGCAGCACTAAAGAGAAACAAGGACATACACAGAGATACATACACAGGGCTGAGGCCCAGGGAGATACCCAATTTATATGTTGGATTCTTTAAAATATAAAGATTTTCCCTGTGCTTTTTTTTTAGCCATTGACATAAGCTAGCCAGTATTTTTTGCTTAAACTTTGAGATTTTAAAAAAATAGTGCTAATTCAAGTTATTGCATATGGAAACACTGTACTAGTTTAGATTAATTTTAACTATGTGTGGTAGAAAACCTCAAATCAATGTAGCTTATTAGGAGGAAGAGTATTTGTTTTTCATGTGAGAAGTCCAGAGGTATGTAGTCAAAAGGTGATTTCTATGTGAGGGGCTCAGTTTCCTTCCAGTTTTCTGCTGGTGTTGTGGATGATTTTAATTCTCATGATTATATAATGTTCTAAGATGGCTGTTGGTGCCCTGGCCATTGCATTTCATGGAGAAAGCTATGAGGAAGAAGGAAAGACAGGCATTTTCCATCTCTTTAATGCCATCTTTTATTTTTATTGAAATACAATTGACATTATATTAGTTCTAGGAGTACAACCTAATGTTTCAATATTTGTATATGTTGCAAAATGACCAGTATCATGTCTAGTTAACATACATAGTCACAAAATTTATTTTCTTGTGATGAGAACTTTGGAGATCTACTCTCAGAAACTTGTAAATATACAACACAGTCTTATTAACTATAATCACCATGCTTTTTGCATTACCTCCCCATGACTTATCTACTTTACAATTGGAAATTTGAAACTTTTGATGCCCTTTTTGCATTTTTTTTAAAGATTTTATTTATTTGAGAGAGAGAGAGAGCATGAAAGGGGCAAGGGGCAGAGGGAGAAGCCAGCTCCCTGATGAGCAGAGGGCCTGATGTGGGACTTGATCCTGGGACTCCAGGATCATGACCTGAGCCGAAGGCAGTTGCTTAACCAACTGAGCCACCCAGGTTCCCCCTTTTTGCATTTTTAAATGCCATCTGTTGGACACTGTTTACACTCTTGACTTAATTCTCCTTGGCTAGATCTCAGCTTGTGTCCACACATAGCTGAGCAAAGGTGGCAAAGAAGTTCTTCCATTCATCTTCATACCAGCTAAAAATTGGACAGTCTCTTGCTATGAAGAATGGGAAAATGAGTGTGCAGAGTCAGCAACTTGTAGTCCACAAATTTAGATGATTAAAACTCATTGCAGACACAAAGATCACATTGAAAGTAAGGTAGCTATGGTTACCAATCATTTTTTCTGTAAATCACGGGTAATCATATTCTTTTGTTTCCATTGTTTCTTTCTACTCCCAACATTGCCAAATCAGATGGAAGAATAAAAATGGGTTGCTATGTTTTATTTTGTATCTTCCCCCTCCCTCCACAGGTATCACTACAGTTCTGACTATGACAACTCTGAGCACAATCGCCAGGAAGTCCTTACCTAAGGTTTCTTACGTGACTGCGATGGATCTCTTTGTTTCTGTTTGTTTCATTTTTGTTTTTGCAGCCTTGATGGAATATGGCACTTTGCATTATTTTACCAGCAACAAAAAAGTAAAGACTACTAGAGACAAAAAGCTAAAGAATAAAAGCTCGGTATGTTAAAAATCTCTATTTTTATAAACAGAAACTTACTATTTGAAATACTATTTTGAGTACTCATGTTATATTCGCTTAGACTAATAGGGATTCTTGAGATAGTCTAACAAAAGCCAAATCCCATTAAGATGAAACTGGAGTTTTCTTTCTTTCTCTCCTTCCTTCCTTCCTTCCTTCCTTTTTTATTATGTTATGTTAGTCACCATACGGTACATCATTAGATTTGATGTAGTGTTCTGAGATTCATTGTTTGCATATAGCACCCAATGCTCCATGCAATACATGCCCTCTTTAATACCCATTGTTTGCATGGAACACCTGGTGTTCCATGCAATACATGCCCTCACCAGGCCAAACCATCCCCCCAACACCATCCCCTCTGAAACCCTCAGTTTGTTTTTGAAGTCCACAGTCTCTCATGGTTCATCTCTCCCTCCAATTTTTCCCCTTCATTTTTCCCTTCCTCTTCCTAATGTCTTCCCTGTTATTCCTTATGTTCCACAAATAAGTGGAACCATATGATAATTGACTTTCTCTGCTTGACTTATTTTACTCAGCCTAAGATTTTAATGACTATTCTGTCAAGAAAAATATATATTAATACTTCCCCTTAGAAAAGACTCTAAGGTCCCCTTTCAAAGAGTGGTTTCTTATGCTGTGATTTTTTCCTCAGTGGTAGATTCTTAGTACCTGAAAAAATTATTTAAGATCTCTCTTTGATTCTATTTTGTTTCTTAGGATTTGGGTACTAACAACAGGTGGCCCAAAAAATTGCTTCATTTTTAGAGTTAAAGAACCCTCTTTAATGTTAGTATTCAGCTGTGTTTGAAAGTCATAACTAAAAAGTGTTTTTGGTTTGTATGTATTTCTGTGCCCTTACTCCCCCTTCCCTATCCTATATCTACTTCAACATGTATAACAACATCTAATATATCTAATCTATAATTATCTAATCTATAATCTAATATATCAAGTTGATATATTAGAATTGGTTCTATTAATTCTAAGATACTTAAGTGTTGGGTGATTGACTATAAATTCTTATCTAATGGCAATTACAACAACCTTAAAATAATATCCAACACTTCCTGAGTATACCAGGTGTTTTACCTGCATGATTTCATTTATGCTCTTATGAGTACAAGTTCAGTAATTTGCACAAAGACAGTCTGAGGAAGTGGAAAATCCAAGACTCATACCCAGGCCTTTTCTGGTGCCTGAAGTTTGTAATCCTTCCTTTATATTCCTGTTCTCATAAGACTCAGAAAAGCAAACATCTATTTTTCCAATATTGACCAAAACAGCACTTTATTGATGATTCCAGCAAATGTTTTCAAAGCAGATTTGTTCCCAAATACCTAAATAAATGAGAACTATATACAACAGCTATGCTTGAGTGGCAAGCTTGTAAGCCTACCATAGAGCGTATATAATAAAGCATGGAATTTTCCATATTATCTCCTAATTTAGTAAGTTCTAGGATGCAATGCTTTTCATCCCTCCTCCCAGTTTTCATTAATTTCTTTATAAAACTTTGACATATTCTTAAATTATATTTTACTTTCCATGTTATATTCCAAGGACCAAACCCTATGTGCATTAGCTTTTGGTTTCCCAGAGTATTCCAAGAGAACAGGGCACATTGCTGGTAGTACACATTTGAGAGCTTACATTGCAGAATTAGCTGGTGACTCTCTCAGTTTATCCTATTTTAGCTTATCTGTGGGACATATTGTAGCCCCTGAAGGGACAAACCATCTGAGGGCAATGATGTCAATTTGAATATCCATTTGCTCCATTTTTAAGTAAATAAAAATGCAGGTTTTCTACTGTTTTCCATTAATCAAAGCAAAGTACCCTCCCTGAATTTTCCATTTCATTATTTACTCATCCATAGCTATGCTCAATCGCTACTTTGAAAATTTTACTTCTAGAAATTGTGAATAAAATCAGGACATCTATAAGCTCACATAGATTCTCTGATTTCATTCTAGGAATATATAATGTACATACTATTATTATATTATCAAAGACACTCAACCAAGTGTCTATTCTGGGACTATAGCTAATCAGTTTGACTGTCACATTTACTCAGAAACCTTAAACATTGGAGTGCAAAACTTAAAATTATGATGTTTTTTAATCTTTCATTCACCAAATATTTATTAAGGACACCCATGTCCTACACAATGTTCTAGAATAGTTATTTAAGAAAAAAGGTTATATTAAGTATTTAAAATTTAGCATCAAGCCCAGGAAGCAAACAGTAAAGATTAAAAAATATGGAATAAAAAATAAATATGAGCTTTGAAAAACTAAATTTCAAACATCCAAAGTTAAATTGGTACATATAACCAACTACCTGGGTACAAAAAAATATTTTCTTTAGAGCCAAAATAAAGTTCTATAGTCTTTCCTTTCTGTTCAGTTATGTGATTTATGAGTTCTTTAAATACTAAATGACATTTTGATTGAAAAACTGAAATCAGTAATCAAATCTGACTCCCTGCTTGGTTCAGTGTTCAGCCATCTGGTCTTGTTAATCAAGTAAATCAGAATGCACTTTCATGAAGAATAAACAGCTCTGCTTGTTGTCTCAAGTGCTCTAGTTAATGGTTGGTAGAATCTGCATTTTCTTCTGCTAGCCAGGACAATCAAACACACAAGACTTGAAGGATCTTGCTTTGGCACTCTTTCTTTTTTTTCTTTTTATTTTTATTCTTGTTATGTTATGTTAGTCACCATACAGTGGTACATCATTAGTTTTTGATGTAGTGTTCCATGATTCATGGTTTGTGTATAACACCCAGTGCTCCATGCAATACTTGCCCTCCTTAATACCCGTCACAGGGCCAATCCATTCCCCCACCCTCCTTCCCTCTAAAACCCTCTGCTTCTCAGAGTCCAGAGTTCCTCATGGTTCATCTCCCTTTCAAATGTTTCTTTGTTGTTGTTCTTCTTCCTCTTTCTGTTTTTCTTCTTCTTCCTCTTCCTCTTGTTTCTTTCCTAACCCTTCCCTCTTCCCTCCTCCTCCTTCTTCCTCTTCTCCCCCTCTCTTTCTTCCTTCCATATCCACATTTTCTTTCTTAAGCTCAAAATTCTGAATACTTCAAAATCTAGCATTTCCTCCTTTTGTTCTCTAGATAGGTTATGGCAGTAAGTCAGAAAAAAAGACCTTGACTAGAGTCGCTGGGAAGATCAACATGTCTTATTAAGCAAAACCAAAATCAACTTCTTGAGGTCTGACTGCTTAACTGAGGATCCCAGAATATTCTAATTTATTTTAAAAAGAGATAATATTTGGCTGTGTCCCAATTTAGGTTTTGAGCTTCCATGAATCCTTTTAAAAACACAAATTAATAAAAATGCTTTTTTACCTTACTGTACATGGGATATATTAGACCCTTTTCTTCCTCTTTGCCTCATTCTCTCCATCTCCCCCCTCACCTCCCACCTTCCTTCCTTTGTTCCTTCCTTCCTTTGATCCTTATTTCCATATCTTTCTCTTTATTTTTTATTGTGAATATCAATGATGTTTTCATTTGGTCCATATTTCCACCCCATCTAATACATATTATTGTGTTTTTATTTATACTTGTTAAGAATATGATTCGATTGTGTTTATGTCAATACCTTTTTTTTTAAATCTAAGAAGTTAAGAAAGTTAAAGGATGAAATCAAGACTATGAAACCGATAAAGGTCATAAAAATGTAATTGTGGTAAGCCACTCATTATTTTTTTTTTAAAGGTTTTATTTATTTATTTGAGAGAGAGAGAGAGCATGAGAAGGGGGAGGGTCAGAGGGAGAAGCAGACTCCCTGCTGAGCAAGGATCCTGATGCGGAACTCGATCCAGGGACTCCAGGATCACGACCTGAGCCGAAGTCAGTTGCTTAACCAACTGAGCCACCCAGGTGCCCTAAGCCACTCATTACTAATTAAAAAGTAGTCATGTTGAGACTAGAATATTCCTCCCGTAGATGATTAGGAATCTCAGAAAACCATGTTATACATACCTATATCAGGGTCTTGTTTTAGCCCATTTGAGGACAGACTGACTTATTGTATTCTCTCAATTTAGTTAAAATGTACAATGATGGAAATTTATTTCACCAACCATGGACAAGGCACTTTGGAGAGGAAAAAAAACAAAAACAAAAAAAGAAAAACCCACACACAAAACAATAGTATGTGTTTGTTTGTTTGCTTTCATTAATCTTTAAATCTAGTTATGGAAAAAATACTATACATAAAGTACAATACAAGTTAAAAATCAGAAGTAAACAAAGATACTATAGGGGAATTAATTCAATTATATGACTGGTTTCATACTTTTTCAGAAGCAAAATATTTTCTACAGTGAATATAAATTGTAAAAGAAATTTTTTAGGGTTGCCTGGGTAGTTCAGTCGGTTAAGGGTCTGTCTTTGGCTCAGGTCATGATCCCAGGATCCGGGGATAGAGGTTTATGTCAGGCTCTCAGCTCAGCAGGAGCCTGCTTCTCCCTCTCCCTCTGCCTGCTGCTCCCCCTGCTTGTGTGCGCATGATCTTTGTCTCCTCTGTCAAATAAATAAATATTCGGAAAAAAAAAACAAAACTATTATATATATATTTTTTCACTTCACTGTTTGTCTTCATGTTTTTCTTTTGTACTGTTAGTTTACCTTGGAAGTTCTCTGTGATTTTTCACCAGTAGGCCCTGCAAGCTTGGCCTGTAACTGTTGAGTGTGCAACTGTCACATTTCATTCTCATGTGTGTGGATGGGAAGTGTGACATCTTACTGCTTCCAGACATACACATGTACATTCTAAGTGATGATGAGGATATCACTAGAACATTCCAATATCAGCTTCATAAGCCCTAATCCTCCCTGGAGAGGCATAAATTTATCTGTTTATTTATTTTTAGAAGTTACAGAGTTCTAAACATAAGCAGCCTCTGACCTGTCAGCATCGCTTCTTCTTTATATACACAGATGAGCAGTGGTTCAAACAGCGGTAGCTCTTCTGGAGATAGACGTTTAACTAACCTCATGTTTTCCATCCTGTTTATCATCCCCATTCATCCTGCATTACAGTATTTCTGAAGTGTCTTGGGTGGGAACAATAGCTCCCACAGTCAAGTTTCCATTTTCTCTGAGAAACAAACTGAGAGTTTTGGAGGAGAGGGGGTTGAGGGGTTGGGTAAGCCTGGTGGTGGGTAGTAAGGAGGGCACGTATTGCATGGAGCACTGGGTGTGGTGCATAAACAATGAATTTTGGAACACTGAAAAAAATTAAATTAAAAATAAATGGAGATTAAAAAGACAAAAATTTTCCATTTTCTGAGCCTCTTCTGAAATGTGGCTTCCTGAAATGTTGGCCTATTTTCACCTGTTCTTTGTCTTTCAAAGACAGTACAAATTCTGACATGCTAACTGGCTGCTCAAATCCACTTCCTCTCTGTTTTTAACACTGATGTGGATTTTGTAGTTTTTGAAATCCCAACTGATACTTCAATGGAATTTTATAAAAGTGGAGTGGAGAAAACCTGTGCTCAGGCTTGCATTCTCCCATGCAAAGTTTTAAATGGGAAATTAATAACAGAAATATTAGTATTTCATAATATTGGTAACATGACCTAATAATGTTTGATATTAATGTTACTAATATTTAATAACATTGATGATATTAGTATATGATACAAGTAATAATTATAATATACAAACATACACAAATACACATACATAATTATTTTCTTTACTACTTAATTAACATAAATATTTTCTTTACTACTTAATATTTCTTTGGCATTAGTGTATCTTGGTGCTTGAAATATATTTTGTATATTTAAATCTATTACTAATATATAAATAATGTAGTATTTACTCTCGCTTTCAAATAATAAATAAATAAATTTTTTAAAAATAGAGGTGGGGGGCACCTGGGTGGCTTAGTAGGTTTCTGCCCAATTTCTGCTCAGATCATAGTCTTAGAGGCTGAGCCCCATGTTGGGCTCTGTGCTGTGCAGGGAATCTGCTTGAGACGCTCTTTTTCTCTGTGTCCCTCTGCCCCTAGCGCCCCTTCAAATAATAAATAAATAAACCTTTAATATATAAATAATGTAGTATATAACATATAGCCAGACAAATATATCTTTAATAATGAGAATGGGATCAGTTTCTCAAAATGTTAAATTCAGTTATATTCCTAGTGACTTTTTCAAAGAATAACAAATGGTATAGTCTCAAAACTATATTATTTAAGGTAAAAGAAAATCCTACTTGGTTATGTAGTTTCTTTTTATATTACTTAAATTGATTTATTTCTTATTTTTTCAATGCTTGCTATTTTGGGGGGGGCCACAGGAGTTTTACTTGAGAAATGAAACAGTTGCACTTCAGATAAATAAGGTTTAGAATATGTATATTCTTCTGATTACTCCATCATTAGTGGTCGCCAGGTCATAATCTGTGTCGAAATATTTTATTTTATTGCTACTGTGTCAGCTCAGGATATTTTTCTCAGCACCTATGAAGTCATATTTCTATTCACATCTACCATTCATTAAAGTGTAGCTTCTTTCACTTTATGAACTTGTGGTGTTTTGAAGGGAAAGCAGGAAACTGGAAAATTGTCAATTGGAAGTGTCACTGCAGTAGAAGCTCTCCCTGATTTTGACCACCAGAGATTAGTCCAGTTTTAAAATGAACCACTTGCAGTTTTTCTCCACTTTTGGACACTCTAATGTTTAATCATCTTCCTCATGCACAATTGATATCTTCCATCAAACACACCATCTTCCCATTTATGGCAGTGCTAATGATATATAGAACGCATTTTGTGCCGTATAACCTTGAAATTGTCAACTAACAAGCTTGTATTTTAATCAATTTTCACTCAGATTAGCATTTGAACATATGCTATTTAAGTATTAAGTGACAAGGAAATGAATACCAATTTGCCTCATTTTGTACATGATTTTAGTGTTCCACTAAAATTTCAGAGTCTAGTCAAGTATCCCCAAGTGTCAAGCTCAAAACATATGTCATTAACATTTAATAATATATTGCTTCTGCTTTTTATGATACATCCAGGCACATAGAGTAATGAATTTATTTGTGTTTAGGATGTATTCCTTATCTTCAGGCTGCACATTTTGTTTCTATTATTATGACTTGTGTGATGCATTTATCTTTTAAAATATCACTAAATATGATTATTGGCTCCTTTGACATCGACTGAATTTTAATATTTAGTGGTTTGGATTTGAAACAAAATGGATTTGAATATAGATCCAAATTTTTTAAAATTACTTTTTGTGTTTAATTTTTTAGAAAACTTTTCCATACAATGTTTAATTTTCATGGCTTTGAAATTTCTTTATTTCAAAATGTAGGATAAAAAATGTTGCAAATATTTTCATTAGGAAGAATTTAAGATCAGGTTAAAATAATTTTAATAATCTCAACATTATATTTAGTGATTAGATAATAAAGCCACCAATTATAACAAGTTGTAATGTTCACATTTTTTGTACTTTTTAATTTTATTTTTTCAGTGTTCCAAAATTCACTGTTTATGTTGCACACTCCGTGATCTCTGCAATACTTGCCCTCCATAATACCCACCACCAGGCTCATACAACCCCTACCCTCAATTTGTTTCTCAGAGTCCATGGTCTTTCATGGGTTGTCTTCCCCTCTGATTTCCCCCATCTCACTTCTCCTATCTCCCAATGTCCTCGGTGTTAGTCCTTATGCTCCACAAGTAAGTGAAACCATATGGTAATTGACTCTCTCTGCTTGACTTATTTCACTCAGCATAATCTCTTCCAGTCCCATCCATGTTGCTACAAAAATTGGGTATTCATCCTTTCTGATGGAGGCATAATACTCCATTGTATATATGGACCATATCTTAAGATTCACATTTTAAAATAACTCCCAAAATATGCAGGAATTCTGAAGGAAGTGTTACTAAAGCTGCAGTCTTCAATAATGTTTTAATTGCCATTTTTTCAAGAGTTCATTAATGGGTTTTTTTTTTTTCCTCCAGTAGCATTTTTTGTGAGGTCCAGATTATTGTTATTGTTCCTTATTTAAGCATGTATTTTATACCACACTGTCAATGACAATGAAAATAACAAAAAGATTACCTATGATGAATACTTGCTATGTTTAAAATGTTTTGCTTTCTGCTTTACGTACATCATCTCATTTAATTATCTAATGGATCTATGTATTATTGTGACTTTTGTAAAGGAGAAGACACAGGGATAAAAAGAAGAGCACTAACATTTTCTGTTCAGAGCAACATAGCTTTCCTGGCCAGAGCTGGGATTTCTGTCCAAGCCTGACTGACTCCAAAGTGATTTCTTTAGCGTTTCATGGTATCCTAGACTTGCTTGATTTCTAAATATTTTTTTAAAAAATATTTTTATTATATAAGTATTATTCAGAACCTGGTATCATAAAAAGTTAATTTGATATGTGTCTCAAATAATCCTGATAATAATAACTATTATAACTGGGCAAGATGGAGCAGTTATCTTTTAAATAAGCCCTGAAATTTACTCATCACAGCCATCACAAAGATTAGGTGTTAATATAATTCTAGCTGTGAGTATAGCTATATTGGTAGAAAAAGTCAAATTTGAACACAGTTGTTCTCAAACCTGAGTTTTTAACTCCTGTATATTCTGTCTCCAAAATATGATGCCTTATCCACTGTTACAAACCCAACCTGTGTGTTTTTTATTCATTCACAGCTCCTCAGAGCTTTTCTGCATTATGAAAATGTCATCTTTGCTATTTGTTCTCATTATCACTAAAATAAATAAATTACATAATATATTTTGGTAGGTCAATTTTCTAAAGCTATAAAATATATTGCATATATGAGGTTTTTTTCCTGCATGGTCTTTGTAATTTATGTCTTACAAAGTAAACTATAATCTAAAAACACATTAGGATTGAATACCTCTTTGATTTCTGTAAACTAAGATTATTTTTATTGCATATCAGTCTTTTAGGGTTTGCCTTGAGGAGACAAATTGATCTTTCTTTATTATATTTTTTTCTCAAAAACTCATTTATTATTTTACTCAGATGTCCCCTGGACTCCATCCTGGATCTACTCTGATTCCAATGAATAACATTTCTCTGCCCCATGGAGAAGAGGATTATGGGTATCAGTGTTTGGAGGGCAAAGATTGTGCCAGCTTCTTCTGTTGCTTTGAAGACTGCAGAACAGGGTCATGGAGGGAAGGAAGGATACACATACGCATTGCTAAAATTGACTCCTATTCTCGAATATTTTTCCCAACAGCTTTTGCCCTGTTCAATCTGGTTTATTGGGTTGGCTATCTTTACTTATAAGTTCTATTTACCAGGCAAAAATCGTAAGAAGTTTAACTAAAGCCAATATAATCTATTGCATTTCAGTAATATGAAGTTTAAATTTAAAATGCAGAGAAACCAATGGTTAAAATGTAAAAGCATTGTAACTATTCTACCGACTCATAGGTAAATAAAGCAGCAGCTTTCATTTTAATTTACTTAAATATATGTAAAAGAGATTAGTTGCAGAATTAAGTATAGTAAAATACTATTATATATTTTTACCTTAATCTTATTTATTTTATTTGTATCCCATTAGGATTTTGAATTCATAAGTTCCATGATTCATATTTTAAAGATGGAATAATTTAATAACTTTAATAATATTTTATTTAAATATAATCTATCATTGTTTGTAATGGGAACTTAACCTCCTGCCTAATGTTATGTAGTAATTTTTTGTTTAGAAAATGTTGTTATTTTGATTTTTTTTCTTAGTTTTTATTTGTATGGCCTGTTTGGAATAGAGCTAATTAAAACCATAAAGCCAAGATTTCCTGGCATTTATATCCAGATATTTTACTCCCAAGAACAAATTAAATTAGAATAAAAGACCAATTATTACCTTATTAAAAGGCCAATTTTTATCTGTATTTTAATCAAATCCATTTCCTGACACAATATTAAATAGTATTGTAGTTACTTCAGTTTTGGTGATTTACAAAGTAGGATGAAAACCACCAAAGTAATTTATATTTTAAATATAGTTGAAAAAGAAGTTACATTTAACCATTTTATTCTCTGGCTCACAGTATTTATGAAGTATGAAGAAGTTAACACTGAAATGTTTAGACCTACCAACACTGAAATTAAATACAGAAAGAATTGATTTTTTCTTTTTGCTCTACAAAAGTATTATGTTCCCTAAATTGGAAAAAAAAAAAAATGAAGAACAGTGTTTGTATTCACTCATTGTGGGAAAAGAATTATTATCTAGCAAATTGAGTAACAGTTCATATTGAGGATATGGTCTTAAATATGTACTATTAATAATTGCCAGACTAAAAGTGTCCTAGAAATACAGTTTTAGGTGTGTGTCACATGTTGTCTTTGCCAGCTCCTACACTGTCAGTTTTATATCTATGTTATAAATTGTTATGATGTTCTCTTAAAAAAAAAAAATGAAAGCAGTCTCAAAGATCACATTAAAAGTGGAGTTCTGTTCGAGGTCCTTCTGAGGAACATGAGTGCCGCAGCTTTCTACACTCTAAGAGACAGGAACAGAGAAAGGCACACTGTGTGTAAAGCCTGTTGTTTGGTAGTTTCCCAAATGCTTCTCTCGTTAAGAGGAGAGTTAAATTTAGACTTTAATCACTACATTCCTGTAAATAGTTAAGCACATCCGTTGTTTATAAGAACTCCACATTCATTCACCACCACCTAATTTTTTGGGAAATCACTACGTGATCTCCGAGATAACCTTTAAAAATTGTTTCCATTGCCAAGAGCAAGTATGAGGATAAGGAGTTTTGTGTTCAAACTTATCTTATGGTATGTGAGCTAGCTTATGAGCTAGCACCTGTGCATTTGATACTAGTTTTTAATGCAGTAATCCCCCACATGATGAGTGAATACATGAATGAGGCTCTGGCATGGTTATGCTTATCTTTATAGAATATATAGGGTTTTTTAAAAATCTAAATACATTTCATTGTGCATTCCTCAGCTATGTCAGATTTTTTTTACTTTGATTATAAACTTCTGAAAAAAATGTAAGCATGAATTGAGTGATAATGGCCCAATATCCACCGACACTACTTTTTTTGAATGGAGAGCCAAATCAAACTTTGGCCATGTATATATTCACTTAGAAATTATTCATGCATTCATTTTTATAACTGAGTATTGATGGATATTCATAATGTGAAGATTCCTTTATGGATAAATGGAAAATGAAGTATTCATGAAGAATAAAACACTTCACTAAAATGTATTATGGCTATTTCCATGTTCTAAGCTATAACCTGCTCACTTTCATGCAGGAAATTTTAATTCTGGGATTCTTCAACTGAGCATGACCATATTTTAAAATACTTTAAAATGCTTAATATAAATAGCTTTGATTTTCTCATTGGTGTTCCATTAACTTGGCTTTAAATGTTGGCAATATTAACAAGTGGAAATAAAATTAATAAAAATATGAAAGATGCTTTACTACATACATTCATTGTATAGATCATCAAAACAAGCACTTTGTTTACAAAGCAAGTGAAATTTTAAACAGCTTTATTTAAATATGTAGGTCAGAAAGAAAGGGATACAAATCTTAGTATTTCTAAAAATGAGAATAAAAAGGTGATGATACAGATAGATTCTGTTTATAAGAAATCAAATCGAACTTATTTTTAAAGGGAATGCAGTCTAATTCCTGTCCCTCTCTTCTTTCAAGTTTTACCATGTTAAGAAACAACTTTCTAAAAAATCCTCCTTTCAGAGTTTTATCTGAATTTATTGGACTCACTGGAATCTGTGCTTCTTAGCTGCTTTAAGTGGTTTCAACACTAACAGACCAAAGAAGTGGATATAAAGGATAGGAAAGATAAATGGAGCAGAAGGATTTAGAATCATCTGGGAAAACGTTAATTTATAGATCAATCCTTTAAATATGTGACCAGGATCTACAAGTTCTGACAAGGGAAATTGTGACTGGAACAATTTTATTCTCTTGAGTTTACAATTGCACGATAATATTTTATTTATTCTTGAATTGCATAGAAAAACTTAGGCACACTTGAAATTAATTCCTAAAATGCCAAGTAGTTTCTGAGGGAAAAAAAAGAAAAAAATACAGGCAGACAGACAAAAAAGAAAGAAAGCAAGCAAAAGAAAAGAAAAAAAAAAAAAAAAAAAGAACTTAGCCTCCCTGAGAATTTGCTTCTCTTAGTAAATTCCTCAGTAAATCTAACTAAGTATGAAGTTTTAATGAAATAGAAATCAATTTATTGGAAATTTTTTAAGTTAAAGACATAGCTTTCTTTAAGGACTTACTAAAACTGATCAACTATAGGCTAAAACACAGTAAATGTGTGTAACTATACACTCACCAGGTTGTTTTTTCCTTTAGTGTTCCCATATCTGACATTAATTTATAGTCTTAGAATATGCTACAATTTTGCTGAATTGAGGGTTGCATGTTTGCCAATGATGTAGCATCAAAAAGAATGATTGATAGTACTCCCACATCAAAAGGCCCATTCTTGTAAAACGTGAAATTGTATTCCAAGTCAATATGTTTTGTTTTGTTTTAAAAGATTTTATGTATTCATTTGAGAGAGAGAGAGCAAGTGAGAGAGAGAGCACAAATGGAGGGAGGGGCTGAGGGAGAGGGAGAAGCAGACTAGCCACTAAGCAGGGACCCTGAGGAGGGGTAGATCCTGGGACACCAGATCATGACCTGAGCTGAAAGCTAATGCTTAAGGTGCCCCCCCCCCAAGTCAATATGTTACAACAAAATGCATCTTGTACTTTGGTTACACAAAAGGAGATTTGGATAGGATCCTTTGCTCAAGTAAAATTTAGATTAATAACCAATAATTGAATAAGCACCTAATAAATGAATAAGCACATATATAAAATTATCAAACTACTATACCAGGGCCCATTTGCCCTTGGAAAATTTCCTGTAGCAAGATCCCACATTCTCAATTATTTCCTTGATCTTACTTACCACTCGAATTGAAGTGATTCAGTGGCTATCTAATGAGTTAATATTTGTCCCACCAAAAACATTTTTGAAGATAATTTCTGACCAAGGTATTTTTCTTTACATCATCAAATTTACTTCTCAATGTCTTTCCACATGAAGACCAGAGATCTTTGGTGCTATGTTTCTTTTGGTCATTGTTTTTCACTATTATGAAGCCCTTGACAAGCCACTGTAAAGTCACAGAAACCATTACCAAGGCACTATCAAAAACTCCAAATGGGGGTGCCTGGGTGGCACAGTGGGTTAAGCATCCTACTCTTAGTTTCAGCTCAGATTGTGATCTTGGGGTGGAAAAATCCACTTTCTGAGTGGGACTCAGTGCTCGGTGTGGAGTCTTCTTCTCTCCCTCTTTGCCCTTCCTTTTCTCGCTCTCTCAAAATGGATATATAAATCTTTAAAAGAAAAAAAAAAGATTCCAAATGGAGTTTCCAAACATTATTGATCATATTGCTCTAGTAAATATAATGTTAGTTCTGCCTTTATTTTTCTTTGCATTTTGAAAAAAAATAACCTAATACACAATATTTATGCAGCCCTTTCTATGGATAGAGTACAGCAGGGGATATATAAAGATGAACTCTCAAGAAACATATAGTGAGAGGATTAGTTATACAATCTATGGGAGGGAGGCTAACTCTGGGAAAGTTTCTACAGATGGAAGCCTGAAGGTTCAATATGTCACCAGGTGAGGTTAAGTAGAGATCACACTTCCAGTTGAATAAACAGCTTGAATAAAGAAACAGAAGCATGGGCACAAATAAAATTTCCATTTTAATTGAAAGTTAAGATGGATATAGAGGCAATTAAAGATGAGACAAATAAAGATAGGTCAGGCCCTGTGGTGAAGAGGCAAGAATACAAACCACAGGGGGCTGGGTGATACTCTAAATTCATGGAGAGTTCAGAAACTACTTAAGTAGAAAAGAGCCATTATGAATACTGCAGAACTTTCCTCTTATTTGTGTGTGATGTTTGGAGTAAGAAAAAGCAAAGCCAGTTGGGAAGTAACTATAAAATAGGAGGTGAGGGGGGAAGAAGGTTAGAACTGTGGTGATAGAAGAAAAATAAATAATCTCCTGAAATACAAATCATCAATCAGGTCTTTCCAGATTATTATTATTAATTATTATTATTATTATTAAAATATGTTTCTCATTAAAAGGACTTTCTTATCAAATAATTCTAATTTCTAATCAAATAATTTTCTTTCTTTCTAACTGAGAAAGAAAAAAAAATAATGTATTTGGAGAAAGGAGGGAGAAAAACTGGCAAAAGAATTAGGCTGCTGTTGGACCAGAAAAATCCAGGAAGTTGACTTAGAGTCTCAATTTCTGAAATATTTGTCTCAAAATATATAAATAAATTTTTATTTGTGGACCATAAAATGTACCTGGATCATGAATAGTTTGAATCTGTGAATAGATGAGATTAAGCCTATGAAAACTGCAAGGCAGTTAAATACAAAGGTCTAATTTAACAGAATTTAAAGATAAGGTTGACCTAAATGGAAGTAGTTTGGATCTTGATAAGTCACTGTAATAACAGCTATTTGCTTCTATTAAGTATATCCAGTCACTTCATATAATAAAGTCTTATGGCTTGTGATTGTAATGGCTTCTGTTGTCTGCTTCTGCCTTATCATTTTGGGGAACATTTTGTGAGTATGTGGCAAAGGTATCTTGACTTTTCAAAGTATTCTGTATTTTCATGATTCTAAGTACAAAATAAAGTCAATAACTTGTAATGAAAAAAAAGTGTTACATTCTCTTAAATGTTTTTTTTTTAAATAGTTTTCCTACAGATATGTCCCTTTATTGTTTCATAGTATATAATCATGACTTTAGCATTGAACTTAG